TAACAAGACCTGGCAATGGCTAAGAGCAGGAAAATTGAAGAAAGAGACCAAGGGACTAATTCTGGCTGCACAAGACCAAGCCTTAAGGACAAATGCATATAAAGTCAAAATTGAGAAGACAGCAACAGACAGTAAGTGCCGCCTATGCAAAGAAGCTGAAGAAACAGTGGACCACCTGGTAAGCTGCTGCAAGAAGATCACACAGACTGACTACAAGCAGCGACATGACAAAGTAGCAACAATGGTGAATTGGAAGATCTGCAAGAAATATCATTTGCCTGTAAGCAAAAACTGGTGGGATCATAAAATAGAGAAAGTCATAGAAAATGATAAAATTAAACTGCTCTGGGACTTCAGAATTAAACAGACAAGCACCTGCAACATAACACCCCAGACTTAACAATTGTCAATAAGAAAGACAAAAATGTCTGGATAGTGGACGTTGCAGTGCCTGGAGACGGCAGAATAGATGAGAAAGAACTGGAGAAGATAACAAAATACAGAGACCTACAAATAGAAATAAAAAGACTGTGGCAAAAGCAAGCAAAGGTAGTACCAATAGTAATAGGCGCCTTGGGTGCAATCCCAAAACAACTGGAGCACCACTTGAACATCATTGGCATTGACAAATTTGCTATTAGTCAATTGCAAAAGGCGGCCTTACTAGGAACTGCTTCCATCCTGCGACGATATCTGTAATACCATCAAACATCCACATCTGCCTATCCCAGGTCGTGGGTAAGGACTCGATAGGTAGACAAAATGCCAAATCCAGTCTGAACATCTGGCTGACTATGCGATGATCCATAATAATAATAATAATAATAATAATAATAATAATAATAATAATAATAATAATAATAATAATAATAATAATAATAATAATAATAATAATAATAATAATAATAATAATAATAGTAAAGTTAGAAGGGACCTTGGAGGTCATCAAGTCCAACCCCCTGCTCAGGCAGGTAACCCTATACCATTTCAGACAAATGGCTGTCCAGTCTCTTCTTTAAAACTTCCAGTGTTGGAGCATTCACAGCTTCTGGAGGCAGGTTGTTCCATTGGTTAGTTGTTCTAACTGTCAGGAAGTTCCTCCTTAGTTCTAGGTTGCTTCTCTCCTTGATTAGTTTCCACCCGTTGCTTCTTGTCCTGCCTTCAGGCACTTTGGAGAATAGCTTGACTCCCTCTTCTCTGTGGCAGCCTCTGAGATATTGGAACACTGCTATCATGTCCCCCCTCATCCTTCTCTTCATTAGACTAGACATACTCAATTCTAGCAGCCGTTCCTTGTATGTTTTAACCTCCAGTCCCCTGATCATCTTTGTTGCTCTTCTCTGTATCCTTTCTAGAGTCTCAACATCTTTTTTACATGGTGGTGACCAAAACTAGATGCAGTATTCCAAGTGTGGCCTTACCAAGGCATTGTAGCGTGGTATTAATACTTCGCGTGATCTTGATTCTATCCCTCTGTTAATGCAGCCTAGCACTGTGTTGGCTTTTTTGGCAGCTGCAGCAAAGAAGCAAAATGCCTTCAAAGAAAAACTAGAAAATCCAGTTGCCTTGTGAAAAAGCATCTTTGGGACAGCTAAGTTTAAATGGCAAGAACAAAGATGAGAATTAAATATAAATTGTTCTTGCAAGATACTAAAGAAAGAGGTAGTTTAGGTTTACAGGATTTGAAGATGAATTTAAAGATTTTAAGATGAAGAACGGTTGCAGGAATTGGATATGGCCGGTCTAGAGAAAAGAAGGACTAGAGGTGACATGATAGCAGTATTGCAATATTTGATGGGCTTCCACAAAGAAGTGGGGGGTCAACTTATTTTCCAAAGCACTAGAAGGCATGACAAGAAAGAATGGTTGGAAACTCATCAAGGAGAGAAGCAACCTGGAATTAAGGAGAAAATTCCTAACAGTGAGGACAATTAACCAGTGGAACAGCTTGCCTTCAGAAGTTGTTGGTGCTTCATCACTGGAAATTTTAAAGAAAAGATTGGCAAGTCAACTATCTGAAATGGTATAGGGTCTCCTGTTTGAGTAGGGGGTTGGACTAGAAGACCTCTAAGGTCCCTCTCAGCTCTATTCTGATTCTGATTCTAAAGATTTTAAAAAGGTAGTTTGATGCTTGTTGTTTGGTCTGTATGAAAGACAGGGTGATCCTTAAAAATCCTTACTTGAATTGGAGGGTCATAAATTAAGACTTGGATTGCATGCCTAACTATGATATGACTAAGTTAAAACAAATGCTGATTTCAAGAATAATCTTGTTAGGCGTGCTATCCTAAGAGCTTGAAATGAATAAAAAAACAAGGTTTTCCCCTAAGGTACCTTTTTGGCTATTACTTTGGGAAGCTATTTTTAGAAAAAAATAATGGTGAGTCCAGATTGCTGGACCTAGGACCAGATACTATCTTTTAGGTGAACCTAATCTTAATGCAAAAGAAGAACTGGAACTAGAAGACAAAAAAAAAAAGACAAAAATCTATTGGTTTCAATTTACAAAAAAAAAAATAAAAAATAAAAAATGAATTTATAATTGTATGTATGCTAATGATGTACATGTTATTTATTGCTAAGGCTTATAAAATGTGGTTGAAATTGAATTTTGGAAAGTGAATCGTTGGAAGTGTATAATTCAGTAGGCAAGGGACTTGGGATATAATCAGTGGTGGGATTCAAATATATGAACAACCAGTTCTCTGTGTGGATGCTACTTCCGGAAGTCCATTCTGGGCCTGGGCAACAAAAAATTAGCTCCCGGTTCTGCCAAAGTGGTACGAACCAGCTGAATCCCACCCCTGGATGTAATGTAATGCTTGAGCAATGGGAAAAGATGTAGTTGAATGTTTTAAAATTTACATTGAATTACAATTTGAAAGAAAAGTTTTACAAAATGATGGACTGTTAGTCTTTAACACTTGAGAAATGATCAAGGATGTATAAAGGTCTTTCAAATAAATGTTGGAAATGTTATTCTAAAAACGGTACTTTTTATCATCGTTGGTGAACTTGTGATAGAGCAAAGAAATATTAGGCTCAAATTCATGTTATCATGCAGAAGATTCTTAAGTATCAAAAGATGCCTGCTTACGAGAAAATGTAACATCCCAATTCTAATTTCAACACATGGCTTTGCTCCTGTGAATTTTTTTAAATGTTTATTTTTGGCACAAGGTCTTCTAAATGACAAGTGCATTCTAGGAACAATTAAATAATTTCTGTCACAACAGTGTGCAATTCCACTGACTTTCTCTAAGAATGCAGAAATCAGATTTGACCAGATGCAGCCACATGCAGTCCAGAGTGGTTCAAAATTTATCTTTTGATGCAGAAAATTTGATGAATTTCAGACCAGGAGCTTGTTACGACTACTTTGAATCCTGCTTGGTGTGTTGAAGTTGGCAGAGGATGTTTTCTTACAAGATTAGCAATACAACAACTGGCAAACTGAACAAACTGAGGGAGGTCACACAGGATACTAAGCCATAGAATCATAAACCATAGTTAAAGGGAATTGAGTTGAGTGTCTTTTTACATTTTAGATTCAGGCTACATGCTGAAGGAAACTGAGGTATTCTGCAAATATACTCACTAAGACTTCAACTGACCCCTTGAAGCATCTTGCAGGAAGACACCCAGATTGTCTTCTTGTTCTGGATGGTCACCCCCCTCCCCCCAGAATGGTCACCCCACAAGGTATTTCTTGAATGGATTTTATGCACCACTGTTTTATTTCACTTCACTTTTCCCCCTCTACTGCTTTTCAACAAAACATTAAAACATATTCCTTTTTCTTTCTTGCTTTTTACATCTGTCCTGAGAGCCATTTATATGTTATTATAGAGATTTTAATCAATAGTTTAAAAATACACATGCAAAGCTTCCTCTCTAAGCATCTGTGGACTGGATAAAAAGTCCCAGAGATTACCTGCCATGAATAGATTCTGGAGATCCTCTTTCCAAGCCTCATCATGACTGGTCGTGTTCCTGATCCATGCATTGCATGTAATGCATGTGCCAGAGCAAAAATGGCATTGTAGATATTGTAACTTTCACCCGTCATGGCTGTTTCGAAGACGTAAGAGGCTACATTTTGCAATTTTTCCTTTCCTGTGCATGTTTTTTTCCCCTTTTGAGGGATCTTTCCTGGTTTCTGGACTGCACAATCAAATACCTTTCCCCACCACAGTGGCAGAAAAATATCCCCTTGTGGGTTCAAAGGATCTAACATCAGAAGGAAACGGGCGAATTCTGAGAAATCACTGTTGTGGTCCCTAATATGCAAAGCTCCATGGAGGGGCTTTACAATTTTCAATGTCTCTTCATATTCCATCTCACTAAGTTTCCAAAGGGAAGTTAAGATCCAAACTTTTTGAAATGTTATCTTTTGAAATTCTTGATAAAAACTCAAAGCCACTGGAACATTTTCAATACTGTTGGAATCTCCAAACAGAATAATCACTTCAACTTTAAACCAACTTTTGAAAATACGAATGAAATTGTTGGTTATAGTAATCATTTCCTCAGATTTGAGCATTTCAGTGAAGGCCAGGCAGATCTCCTTCTCCTTGAGCATTGGCACCAGAGATGAGATGAAATGTTCTCCATACTCACTTTCAGAAACCATAAGTCCAACCCAGTTCCACTGGAAATGCAGGAGCAGCTGGACTAAACCCACATATTGATGGAATTCCTTGGGATTAATCCGGAAGAAGGATGGATAAACTCTTCTGTCTCCCTGTGAGAACTCAAAGCCAACACCGAGCTGGAGAAAGTGAGATTCCTCTTTCAAAGTGAAATTAAAGTTTTATGGGTGACCTTAGGGGTCCCCATTCTGTGGTTTATTGCCCCACCAGTCAGACTGACTCACTTTGAATGTCAAGTTTAAGCTTCTTCCCCTCTTAGCAGGAATCACCAGTTACATATTTTGTCTGGTTGTGATAGATCAGAAGTCAAGGAAACAAACCATCAACTCATAAAGAGAGTTTAAAAAAACTGCATCGAAAGGGTAGCTACACTTTTGTGAAGAATGTTAGGAAGGAATTCTTTTAGGCAAGTACAGAATTTCAGAATTATCTATTTTGGGGAGGATTACATAAAACATATCTTGAGACATTAAATATAAAAACATGAGTTCAATGGATTCTCTAAGTCTCAAATGCCGGATGTACCCTCTCTTTGCTTTCATCTTGGGCTTCTGTGTGTGTACTTTGATTGTTTGTCTACCCCATGCTGCATCCAGTGCAGCTCCCCTTACCTGTGGGACTTTGAAGATGCTGAAGATGGAGGCCATCAGCCTTGAGGATTTGAGGTTGAGACCTCCGATGACAGAGAGCAGAGGGTCCTGCCGGTCACATTTATAACCTGGAACCGTTTGGCCTCTTGTGGAGAGCAGGGAGAGGCTGAATAAGGAAACTCTCATCTCAACCTGGCAATTGTCATAGATGTGAAAGCCAAATGTGATGTTGGGGAGGAGAACTAAATCCTTGTTGGCCTCCGTAACTGCAAATACCAAGGTCTTGAAGTGCTGGTAATTCTTGGGTATTAATCTATAGTGAGAAAAAACATTGGGGAACATGACAGGAAAGCTCATGATTTCTGGCTGTTCATTTTTTGCATTTTGTTTGTGAAGCAGCAAATCCCAAGTATGAGTTTTCTCATTTTTTTTTTAAAAAAAATGTTCCTTCATTAAATTCAAAAGGTTTTGTGAGAAAGGAGAAAAGCCTGTGTCTCCATATTCCAATATCTCAGGGGCTGCCCCAAAGAACAGGGAGTGAAGCTGTTTTCCAAGGCACCTGAAGGCAGGACAAGAAGCAATGGATGGAAACTAATCAAGGAGAGAAGCAACCTAGAACTAAGGAGAAACATCCTGACAGTTAGAACAATTAACCAGTGGAACAACCTGCCTCCAGAAGCAGTGAATGCTCCAACACTGGGAGTTTCTAAGAAGAGACTGGACAGCGCACTTGGATCCTTCAACTATGTCTCGTATTTATCCGAATTATGAATCCAAGTGCTGGAGGTGTGGTCATCCAGATGCAACTTTTTTTCATATGTGGTGGACTTGTAAGGTCATTAAGGCCTTTTGGATACAATTATGGTGGAACTTACAGCAGATTTTTAAAAAAAGGATTATTTTTCTTCCATAGTTGTTTCTTTTAGGTATTGTGCAAGATTTAGATGCAAAAGAAATAAATTTGATGCTTTATTGTTTATCTGCTGCCAGATTGCTAATAGCCCAAAACTGGAAGAGCCCAATTCTGCCTACGATGGGAGACTGGAGATTGAAAGTTTCGTATCTTGCTGAAATGGCAAAGATTTCGGCTTACTTGAAGAACCATTCAAATGAACAATTTTTATCAATATGGAGAAGATGGATTGTTTATATTCAAAAGAAACATAGAGTGGTAGAATATAATTTAG